CCAAACGGACATTGACTTCAACGAGATGGAGGGCCTCTTCTGCCAGCAGCCCACCAGTGGCGAGGGCTCACCCAAGCCGAGCCCCAAGATCGGCAAGTCGTCCGCGGCCAACGGTAAGGACACACTGGATCGCAAGGGCAAGAAGGAGAGCACAGAGATCACGCTGCTGGACGGCAAGCGCAGCCTGAACGTCAACATCTTCCTGCGTCAGTTCCGCAGCAGCAGCACGGACATCATCGAGCTGATACGGCTTGGCGCGCACGAGGAGATTGGCGCCGAGCGGCTGCTGGGACTGCTCAAAATACTGCCCGAGGTGGATGAGCTGGACATGCTGAAGAGCTTCAATGGCGACCGGACGCGTCTGGGCAGTGCCGAGAAGTTTCTGCTGCAGCTGCTCGAGGTGCCCAAGTGAGTTTCCCAATCAAAATTCAATCCAAGCTTTTGCCTCATCAGCTTTTGCCTCTCTCCCATAGCTACAAGCTGCGCATTGAGAGCATGCTGCTTAAGGAGGAGTTTGCCGCCAATATGGCCTATCTGGAGCCCTGCATCAATGCCATGCTCTATGCGGGCGACAATCTGCTCAACAACAAAGCGCTCCAGGAGGTGCTCTACATGGTCGTTGTGGCTGGCAATTTCCTCAACTCCGGCGGCTATGCAGGCAATGCGGCCGGCGTTAAGCTCTCCTCCCTGCAGAAGCTAACAGATATCCGGGCCAACAAGCCGGGCATGAATCTCATACACTTTGTGGCCCTTCAGGTGGAGCGCTGCAATCCGGAGCTGCTGCAGTTCACCGCGCAGCTGAATACCCTCGAAAATGCCAGCAAGTAAGTGGGGGAATACCATCTCTTCGAGAGGCACACTCAAAATAGGATCTCCTTTCTCCACAGAACCACCTCGGAGCAAATCAAGAGCGAGATTGGCACTCTGGAGACTCGCATCAGGAAGATAACAAGACAAATTGAACTTCCCGCCACGGATGCGGATATAAAGGAGCAGATGTCCGAGTTTCTGCTTGCCGCCGACTCGGAGATGGCGGTACTTCAGGCGGGCATGAAGCAGGTGGATGCGTTGCGGCTCAAGTTGGCCGAATTCTTTTGCGAGGATGCGGCCACCTTCAAGCTGGAGGAATGCTTCAAGATCTTTCAGAGCTTCTGTGATAAATTCAGGCAGGCCATCAAGGAGAACGAGCGCCGAGTGCAGCAGGAGAAACTGGCGGAGGAGCGTAACAGAATCCGGATGGAGCAAATGGCCAAACGAACCAGGCAAGGTGCGTATCTGTAGTCCACATTAATGGGATCATGTTCTTATGCCTTGATCCATATCTTTTGCAGTGGGTCAAGCGGGCACGCCCGTCTCCGATTCCGACTCATTCCTGGGCGACGCCCTCTTCGATCCGCGCGCCAGCCCCGCGCTCAGCAGACGCCAGCTGGGCTCGGGTGAGATTAGCAATGGCTTCATACGGCTCGAGCAGGAGTACAGCGCCTCGCCAGACATCACACCCAATGGCAGTCTACGCAGGCGCCCCAGTCGCGTGCTAGCCGGCGAGGACGACCTCATGGAGTATCTGCGCAGCTCCACCGGACCACACGATGGCCCCGGCCACATTAGTCGCGAGCGCAAGGCCGCCTACGGCAGTCTGGGTAAGTGCTCCCGGATTCTGTAGCTGTTGCTGCCGGTTCTTATATTTGAATTTATCCATCTAACAGATCGCTCCTGGGCACGACGCGCACGCTCTGGTAGCTCGAGTCGCAAGCGTCCGGATCTACTAAATATTGACTTTGGCCTTGATCGGGAGCGCGCCAACTCTCCGGCTCCACTGCTCCAGCAGCAGCAGCAGCTGTCGCATGATCGCCTGCAATCGCCGCTGGCCAGCAGCGGCACGGCCACGCCCACAACGGCAGCGAATACGCCTATCAGCAATGGCCCAACGAGTCTCCAGCAGCAACAGCAACAAACGCAAGCAGCGCACGAGGATGCGAAACCGAGGTGGGTGTACGCTATATTTATTCAAATATTAATTAATTAATTAAATTATATTAAAAAAGAACCATAAAAAATGGAAATATTTTCCTTCAACAAAATTATAATTAAGATCTTGTAAGTTATGAGTTTCGTAAAAGCAAACTTTACTTCACAAATATTAATTATGCTTGCAAAAAATTGTTTTTAGACGAGAAAGTAATGATATATTCGTTACGCCGAAGATTTAATACCCTTTTCGACTTAATTTTCGACTGATATAGTCTAATATTTATATATTAATAAGATTTGGCTTATATGTTAAAATCATAGTTTAACCAATAATTGGCGAGATATCTTGATAAGCAGATGAGTTATCCATAAAAGAACCTAGCCTTCGACTGATTGTTCCTCTGGCAACTATATGATATGTTGGTCCGATCGGACCAGTTGAGACAAATGTGATGCCTGCAACAAAAAGATGGGCCATATAATGTTTCATGTTGCATGGAAACAGACAAACTGACGAGCGGAAGGATTGAAAGACGGACGAACTAACAGACGGACGGAATGACAGAAGGAAGAAAAGACAGACGGAAGGACAAACAGACGGATGGACTGACAGACGGACATGTAAAAGGGGAGCAGCCTCCTTTTATGCATTACGCATTTCAGAACAGAATTTCAATACCCTCTAAAAGGGTACAGAAATATAGTGTAAAACAAATAATTAATGATAAAATATTGAAATCGTTATCGACCCGCAGAATATCCCGTGAATTCCGCCAGAAAATCGAAACCTGGCTGCAGTCCAACGAAAACGATGAGAAACAGAACGAGGAATACAAGCGGAAACGTCGCCTGGTTAATGCGAATCGGCGATCGCTCGAAAACGAAACTGGTAAGCAGCAGCCGGCTGGATGCAGTCCTTAGCTTAGCTAATCCACATCTCAATTATCATAGAAAACGAACGAAAACTGGATCCATTGCCAGAGGAGAAGATAATGCCAGCAACAACAACGCCGTTGACGACTCCAACGATCACTAACCCAACTAACAGCCAGAGCAAGGATCTGGAGCAGGAGAAGCAGCCAACGCATTCCAGCAGCAGATATCAGCGCGTCTATGCCGACTGGAAGCCATCGCAGACGCTGGAGCACACAGACGTAGTGGGCAATATACAGGCCATAGCGGATGCAGCACAGTCGGCACAGCCGCATCTGACCACCGCCGAGGAGCTGCGTCAATATCGTCGGCAGCGCTCCCAGGAGCAGACACAACAAAGTGCCAGTCCGCTGCAATCCATTGCCGAGGAAGATCGCCGCAAGTCCATACAAAAGCTGGGCGGCAGCGATGGCAACACGGACCGCTTGAAAATCTATGTGCGACGTCCATCCAGTATGGACCTGCAGCCAGAAGCGGTCATGAGAGTGGAGCCCAAGCCGGTAGAGAAGTCGCCCCCGCAGGATGATACCTTTGCCAGCTTGCTGGATCATCACAAGAGTCACAACGAGTCACAGTACACGTCCGCTAACTCCAAGGAGATTGATGCGGACAACATTGAGACGCCGCCGGTGACGCGACGTGTCCTAGCCACACCCAACACCACGGTAGTGACGGTCAGCCTGACGGATAAGCCAAAGCATGCGCCGGAGGAGAAGAGCAGTGCCAGCACCACAGCCACCGAACAGGATGCGCCGGGTCACTTCGATAGATACGCGCTGGCGCGACGCACACGTCGCTATAAGCGACCCACGGACTACAGCAGCGGCAATGAGGAGCTGATAACGCCCACGCAGGACATCCAACAATCCGCCAGCGCCAGTGAGATACGTCGTCTGCAAAAGGAGGAACCGCAGCCGGAGAAGGCACGCAACATTACCAAGCTGGAAAAGGTGGGGCGACACATTAGTTCCATCAATCAGGAGGATGTCCGCGAGGCCATACGTAATCTAAAATCGCCCACTGGCACACCAGAGCGACCCTGGAGTCCGCCGCGTGAACTGACTCCGAGCAAACTGAAGCTAAGCGCCAGCGGTCATCACGAGCTCAACGACGAGGGCTTCGAGGAGACGCAAAGCCTGGTATCGGACACGCCCTCGCACGGCAAAGGTGAGAGCACGAACTCCTCCTGCAACGAGGCCAATGATGCACCCACGCAGCGTTCGCGGCCGCTGTCCAAGCAAAAGACCAGCACCACCAGCATCAGCGCAATGGGCAGCCGCCTGGCGGATCGACTACAGCAGGCGCGACTACGCGGCAGCTCAACGAATCCAGGCCAAGCCAGCCAGAGGTCACAAAACCAAATGCCAGCTACGACGGCGTCGTCGACAACTGCTGCGCTGCCCAAGCGCAGCCTCTCCGCCAGCCGGCCGCTGCGCATGCCCAATGGCAGCCCCTTGCTGAGTGCCACGCCCACTAGTACACGATCATCCTCGTCGACGGGCGTACGCAGATCGCCACACGAGCCGCCACAATTTGCGCCCAATTATGCGTTGGGTGCGCCGCCCAAGCAACGCGACGTAGAGCGCAGCAGCTCGCGCAACAGTTTACGTTCCTCGAGGTCCTCCATCAACAGCGGCGCATCCACACAGACCGTGGTTAGGCGTCTGCCCGCAGTGCAGCGCACCGCCACCGTATCCGTGGACTCATCGCCCAGCAAACGGCCGCTGGCCGCACAGAATACCCGTCCAACAGCCGGAAGGGGCGTGCCGGCCAGTCGCAGCAGCAGCAGCGGCTCCAGTGTGGGTCCCAGCGTGATACTCGTGCGCAGCAAGCTATCGTCGGGCCAGCGCAGCGTCCAGGCACAGCCGTTGGGCAGCAGCACCAGCTTTAAAGAGAATCAAACGGCGGCGCCCACAGCGTCTGCTGTCGCTTCCCGCCTGACAGCGGCGCGCAGTGCGATGCTGGTGAAGAATGTGCTGAATCAACAGTCCAAGAGCAGCAACAATAATAATCCGCCGCAGCAGCAGCGCAATCGTTCCGTCAGCAGCTTTATGCGTCCCACGGCGAGCAGCGCCACGAAGCGGCAGAAGTGAAGTCGCGGATGAGTAGGAATAGGAGGCATCGTCCAAGTTAACGTCCCAAGTTTACAAACTCATTGAACAAAGACAACAAGTTACAAACGCATCTAATCTAAGCCGTCCAAGCAAACGTCATCAAAACAACAAATTAATACAAAACATTTCGAATTTCTAGGCAGGATTTTGCACAAACTACTCCATATTATTGTTAAAGTAGCACAAGTCCAATCCATGGCTCCCAGAGTTATTTATGAGCAGTTATACACCAAGTAGCAATTAGTTTAGAGTGGGTCCAACGATGGGTCCGATGATTTCCAGCACATTCCAAAGTACACGCGTAAAATATTCCAGATTGAGAAACCGCTGAAACAGGTGCGTCGTGGATTCGTCACAAATGTGTTTCAATCCAAAAGGTTTTTCACATATTTTGCACACTTTTCATCGTTTCCAAGGACCTCTTACATTCTAATCGTTAAGGCATGACAAATATTGTTGAAATTCTTAAATATATATGTATTTGAGCACAAAAAAAAAAAAAACAAAAAACAAAAAAAATACCAGTTAGTAAAACTACTCAACTCTAACTTAGCATTAAAAGGAAGTAAACGTTAAAAATTATCTTTTCCATATTAACATTAACATCTAGTTTTAGACCATATTCGATTATACATGTGTAGGAGAGTTCTTTTTATAGACGCGCGTTATTTACAAATTGTGTAGTTAAAACCCAAAATCATAATTGATATATATATTGATATTGGTACTGATGAAAAATGACAAACTACAATACTTAAATAAACAAAAAATCAAGCTTTAAAATGCATAATAAATAAATTAAAACAAAATAAAACAAGTAAGAGACTCTACCCGGCAGTTCCCGACTAAGGAATACCCTGAACCCTTTTCTTTCAAAATCAAGTGTGGCTCGCGCTACGAGCTCGTTTGCTTTAAACTTTTTAAAAGTAAATTTAAAAAGGAAAACTCTATATATATACTTGATCTGTATACACTATTCTAGAATCTACGTATCAAATTCTTTTAGCTCAAAAAAAATAGGATTTCGATATTGATTATTATCAATTGGTCGGAAACGCGGCAACTTATTAAAAACTCGTACTGCGCGGATTTTGAGATCGGCGCGTTAATACACACGGACAAACACACGGGGAAGCGTATAGACAGATGGGCAGGCGTACAGACGGACGGGCAGGCGTACAGACGGACGGGCAGGCGTATAGATAGACGGACTATTAAAGCTGATTAAGAATGTACACACTTTATGAGGCTGGATATGCTGCCTAAAATTTAAATTATACGAAATTAAGTTTGAATTAGCATTGCAGATATACCTGGGTGGTGCTACTATTTTCTACAGCTTAGCGGGGATCTAAGTTCCTTAAAATTCTTAAACAGATAATTCTCTCCCTGGTCTATCAAAGGATCCACATAGTTCTGCTTATCGAACCATTCCTTATGGTTCTCCAGGTAGCTACAAAAAATAGAAGGAAATTTAGTAACCATGGCAAAAGCATTTCTTTGTACAATTACTTAATGAACGAGTCGAGATGTGGCAGGAGATCCACTAGCTTCTCATTTGATATGGGCGAGGCATTGAGACATTCGGGTAATAACACTGGGGACGAGAGGTCAGTTAATTAATTATCGCCAAAAATTCAAGTGTGTGGGCCACAACTCACCTAACATGCGCGCCAAATGCGGTGCTCCAAATATTATGGATTTCTCCGGCGGCGATTCCTCGGATAGCAGACTCCAGCTGAAGGTCTCGCGGAGAAAGCCACGCATTTCCATGGGCAGCTTGTAGGCGGCGGTATAGGCTAGTGCAATATTATTCTTTGCACTATTTTTCTCAATGTACCGAAGGCACTTTTGCAGCTGATTCTCGTACTCGATGTCGCCAAGTAGAGGGCCGTCGACTCCATTTGTGCCATTTACATTACCAGCCATGGATATGAGCTCATTATCACCGCTGGGATTAATGAATTCGTAGGATTTGTTTAATAACAGGCTGCAGTTCTTCATGTTGTTGTCGGTGAGGAAGCCCAAGGCATAATCCTTTTCCTCTCTGTAAAGCAGGTGGTCCTCGAGGTGGAACTCAAAGTAGATGCGTAACCCATCCACGACTTCCTTCAGCATGCACACGCTGTAGAGCAAAGGTAAATGATTAAATGTGTGAAGATGAAATAAATGATAAAATAAAATGGCTCACAAAAGAAATCATAATACAAGTAAGGATTTTTTCAAGTAACACCGAATACTCACATGGACATCACACGATCGTACTCACGCTCCATACGCGCATTACGGCTCAGAGTGTTGCGGGCTCGTGAACTGTCCTGCTTGATGCCAATGGCCAGCTCGACGGCGCGCTGCTTCACAAAGTTCTCCAATATGGTCACAATGGGGGTGCGAGCGGGCAATGCGTGCTGCTTTTCAAGCTTGCAGATCATGTTGTAGTCGTATTCCATGTATTCGCGCAGCCGCTCGCTGATGCGCAGCATCACACGGTCCTCCTGATGGATCCGCTTTTCTGCATCAGTTGTGTGCGTATCTTTAGGTGAGACATGCAGGCTAAACTGAGATCTGGCAGATCTTCGCTCACCATCATCGTGTTTATCACCGCCTTTCGACTTGTCGCGCTGCTTTTTGCGGCCGCTACTGTTGTCCCGCGACCGGTTACCACTGCCATCCCGGGACCGATTGCCACTGCCATCCCGCGACCGGTTGCCACTGCCATCCCGCGAGCGGGCGCCTCTCTTCTGTTGTGCCGGCAGTTCGGGTTTTGGTGTCGCCGGCAAATGTGCCAGCGATATGTCTAGGGGATCGGCTGTGGGATCTTCTACGTTTCCACCTCTGGCCAAGCGCTTCTTCTTGCTGGATGGCAACGTCGGAGTCTTAGTGTCTTTGTACGAGTAGCCGCCAGTTCTGAAAATTGTAAACAAACGGTCACACACATACACACACACGAAATCACACACACGCGCATTTTACTCACTTTTGTAGCTGTGCGGCTTCTGCCAGCTCACGCTGCAATTTGCGATTTTCTTCGTTGTCTTTTAGCAGACTGGCGGCACGCACATTTCGATCCCAGGATGAGTTCCAGCCTTGAAAATGGATTTTGTAATCAAAGTAGCGTAGATTTGCAGCGTCCTTTCGCTCGTACACGGCCAAAACCTATAGAAAAGAGCAGTTTTTCGTGATGAAAAATCGAAGCAGCCACCTCGTGTTCGGCATTTTTCTTTGACGTTTCGGCACGCTATCGCTGTGTGCGTGAGTGCATGTCTCTCTGTGTGTGTGTGTGTGCGTGGGTTACCTTACTGTCGTACAAGACCCTAGCCTTCGATTCGTCGGGCTCGTAGCACAGGACTTTCTCACCCCGGTTGAAAAGCTGGACCTCGTTTTCATGTGCCGTCATCACTTTTGCATATATGGCACCAACTATCAACTTATCACTAAATTATTGTTATTTATAATTTACATTCGTCGCGTTGTTCGCGTTTTTGCTTCTTTTAACCATTCACACAAAATGCGCTCGCACCAGGGCTGCAAAATCGATATGAATGAGCAAACTAGCTCCAGTTCCGCAGCTCTATTTTCTTTTTATTTTTGTTTGTTCATTGAACTCTGTGTTCACTTCAGATGTTATGCGGCAAGAAGAAAAATACAATGTTCATTTGATTTGATACTATTAATAATAAATAAAACAATTGTAATACGCGGATTAATTAATAACTTCAATATAAATCGAATATATCGGAAACACGGTGAACGTCCACTGTGATAGACATGGACCGATATTACCGTGAAATCGATAACAATTGTTGGCGCAATTTAAAAACAGCTCGTTGCTAAGCAGGAAAAACCAAAACAAATCTGACAATAAATCATCTTTAAAATTTCTCACTGCCGTGCAAGAGGTTTTCTTAAACCTGCTCTAGAAATACAAAGTTTAATACAATGGCTACTGCATCGGTTCCCAATTGGCTGCATGTAGACATCGGGGATGAAGCGCCCCAGCTCCTGTCAACTTTGTCCAGTTGCATGACGCTCAGCGATGTACAATGCGATGGTTACGTGCGACTGCTGGCTGCTGACATTTCACTGGAGGACAACGAAGCGCCCAGTGCTAAGCTCAAAGTATTCCGTGGTCTGCAACTAAAGCAGGAGCAGCCGTTGCCCGGCATTCCCACGGCTATTGAGAGCCTCTACATAGACGAATCGGAGCCCAAGACGCCGGGTGTGCATGTGGACTCCAGTCATTACCCGATTACAATGCAACTTTTTTGTTTTCTCATTCTGCAGTGATAGCCGTAGCCATTGCAGAGTCAGTTCTGTTCTATCGCCATTTGAAGCCTTACTTCAAGTATACCATACCCGCCTCGGATGCCGATGAGCTGGAATTGGAGGTGTGGCGGAAGCTGCCCGTCATGAAACCCGAAGCACACGACGGGCTGCTGCAGTTGCTCAAGGATGTTGACCACGCCAAACTGTCGCGTAAAACGCAACGGCTACTGCAGCTTTCCGAAGATGAGCGAGCCGTAAGCCAGGTTCCCTATAAATGTAATCATATATATCCATCTCTATACCATTTCAGGCATTTGTCAGCACCCACAAGGATTCGCCCGTGGGCCGCACGGGCAATATTGTGGCCATGTGTTGCCTGAAACGTGTCTCTAGCAACGTGAATCCGCCATCGCACTTGGTTCTAGCCACAGACTCTGGTCGCATATTTGTGCTGGAACCGCAGGGATTCAATTTGATTTACCAGGCGAAAACTTGTAGCTATGAGACAGCCGTGCCGAGTCTAATTTCTGTGCACGGCACTTACGAGACGGACTTTTGCATTGTGGTGGGCACGCGCAATGGCGGCGTCTATCTGCTGCGCAAGTCCAGCAGCGAGGGACAGGAGATCTTCAAGTTGTCCATTCCGTTGACAGGTCTGCAGTTGCTGCCAATCGATCAGACAATCGTTATAACCACCATGGAGCATCGCTACCTGTGCTGTTCGAAGCGCGGTAAGCTGCTCTACCAGATGCAACTGGATGCGGCGCCCGTTTGCATTTTGCCCCTGATGCTCACACACCTGGGCATTACACTGGTGGCCGTCGCCCTGCAAGGCGGCAAAGTGATTTTCTTCCTTAATCGCTATCAGGTGGATGAATTTGTAGTGTCGCAGACCGTGGCTGGCATGATATATGGTCGCATGGGCATGGAGGATCATGTGCTCACCCTGATTACAGAAACCGGCGAAATGATTATAAAGATTTTACGACGCATCACACGTTTTGAACCCGATTACAAAGCGTTGGCATTGGCCAATAAGGACTCGGGCGTGCCGCACAAGATTGTGGATGCCTCCATTCTCGACAAGTCCAAGAAGAGTTCCATATTCGTAGAGCAGGCGGCGCGGGAGAAACAACAGGCCAAATGTAATTTGTGTGTCATCTGTAATCTGAGCACTTTTAATGCCCCGTTCCTTGCAGCCAGCTATGCTAGCTTTCAGGTGGAATTGTGGCGACTGCGCCACACCGCGGCGCGTGCCACTATAGATGCCATTAACTCTTCAGAGAGCACCATTTCTGGTGATCTGACACACGCGCCCGTCAAGCTGTCAGCAGAGGTCTGCGGCAGTGGACCTGCTTTTCGGCTCTACCTCACCGTGCAGAATCTTTCCACGTTCAAGATGGCCTCCAATTTGTCTGTGCTGCTGCACGCAGATCGCCGCCACTACACAATACAGCAGTCCGTGGCCAGACTGCCAAGTGTGCTGCCCGGCATTCCGTTGCGTGTGGACTTTGAAGTTGTGGCCGTGCTGGATGCCATGGATAAACTGCCACCGGCCAGCCTAACGCCGGACAACTCTCAGATACGCGTGATGCTGCTGAAAACGGGTCAGGCCAAGCCGCTAATTGCTGCCGTTGTAGCCATGCCACAGTCGGAGGCGGCTTTCTAAAAGCTTTTTAATGTTGACTTTAAATTGGTTGTTTTGGGTAAGATTCAGTATTTATTGTGCATGTAAAATGATTTTTAATCTTGCTGCTGTTCATCGTTTAGGCGTATTTGGGCGCATACTTCTCGTAGACCTTGATGTATGCTTCCTTGGCAGCATCCTTGGACAGGCCCTTGTGCGAGTTCCACGCCTCATACATGGCCTTCTTTTTCAGATCCAGCACTCCGGGCTTTTCGATGTTAACATCTCCAACGGTGGCCTGCTTGTAGAGACCGTAGAACTCGAGAAACTCGGAGTCCGTGGGCTTCTTAGCGAAGTTCTTGGCGAGTTCGGCGGCTTGCTCAAAGTTGACCATGTTGCACGTCAAGTGGGGTATGCAGAGTGTTGTGCCATTTTATCCAACTAGCATATATATATAGTTATCCATTCGTAGGTCTTATGCAATTTAATTAATTTAAATTTGGCCCCAGCTGCACGCCCAGTTTATATATAGTTGGCTTATCACTGAGCGCTGTTTCAGAGGTCTAAATTTATTAATTAATATTCTGGAAAGCTACCACAATAGATAAGGCCCGTTACTGTTTGTCAGATCCAAGATAGTTGTTGGACGTGAATCATTGAACCTTTTTAATCGAAAGGTTTTCTGTCGCGGTGACGTGGCGGCGAACTGTGGCCCCGTCGCCCCCACCACTAGCAGCACTCATTAATTAAGTCGTCCAGTTTATCTTTAGTAACTGACAGGATTGACTTGTTTCATACATCGTTTTTTTTTTCGATAAAGTATATTCGTCGAACACTCATAAAATATTCATGCTAATCTTATCGCTCGAGTGCATAAGTTGACTATATTCATATCTCACAATGGCATATACTTAGCTCTCTGATTGCGAATATATGTATTACTAATATTATTTCTGGCAAACTGCAAGTGCAAACTCGTACGAGTTTGTTTTTTTTTTTTTGTTTCCTCTGCTAGTAGCCAGTAGCACCTGTACCTAATCAGCATGGGCAATCAGATAGAATGATGTATGTGTCTAGAGTGTGTTGGGTTTATCGGGAATGGGACCTGAGAATGGCAGTGGCAATGGCAATGGCAATGGGAACAACCAAAAAGTGAGTCTCCTGGGCTGATAAGATTAACCAATAACAATTGGCTCTATGTTTGGGCCCATTATATATAACTATGCAATGGTGCGAATTGGCACACATTGTTTTCGTTCGCCAAACATAACAAACCACCAAATAACAACATGTTGACCGTGAGTAGAAATAAAAAATATATATATTAAACTAGGATATCGCCGGACTAACTTTGCTCGTTTCCCATTCGCTGCAGTTTGAGGAAATCGTTGAGAAGGCAAAGGCTTTCAGCAAGAACGTCACCAAGGAGGACTTCCTGGAGTTTTACGGCTACTACAAGCAGGCCACCGTTGGCGACTGCAACATCGAGGAGCCTGAGGAGGAGGACAAGAAGGCCCGCTACAATGCCTGGAAGAGCAAGGCTGGTCTGACCGCCGAGGATGCCAAGAACCACTACATCGAGGTGTACAAGAAATACGCCGCCAAATACGAGTAAAATGTGCATTTCAAGTAGTTTGCATTAGTTGTTTTTTGTGAACCCATCACGAAAACAAATATTCATGCCACAATTGCCCGTTGTTAACAAATGTATTTATTGTATTTTTATATTAACGTTAATAAACCCGTAATCATTTAAAAATAATCAACCAAATCAGCTAATTACAGCCAGATTTTTTCAATGATTTTATGTTCACCATAAAAAAAAAAACTATTTAATGAGAAGTCAAGTGCGTGTTGTCTTTAAATCAGCAAACATATTTATCACCTTAAGAGCTTACTTCCTTCAAATTTGAGTAAAAAAAGGAATGTATATACATACATTGAAATCAATATGAGTATATGGTGCGAATATCAGCAGATCTTCAAAGGTTTTTCAGCTTGACAAAATGTCTGATAAGAACTTAGTCACATCCGCTGGAAGTTGACAGAGTCGAATCCCCTAAAGTATGCCAAAACTAAATTATAGAACTCTTTGAAGTATAAGAGACGATATATGCGTGGGCCATTGAGCAATAAATCTATTTATTATTGAGTCGTTGAGTAATAAATAGATGTATGTGGATATATTTTTAAGCATATAAAGCTTTTACTCAAGCTTTAATTAAATACCCTATTCTTTTCTGAAAAACAGTTCAAGCTACCTATTTAAACAAATCTAAATGTACATATTACAATCTAATTAAAGCTTCTATCAAAATTGAGATACAATTTACGAATATCTTGCAATTAGACTTGTTTGACAGCAAGTTTATCAAAATGGTAAATTGTAAAATAATTTTAAAGACCACAAATTCTAACTTGATTAAACATATTAATATCAAGTCTGATAAATAAGTAGTTATAAGCATGCTTGAAGTCAGAAAAACAAAAAATATTTTTGACCATGAAACGAACTTTAGACGAAAACCAATTGTCCAAAAAGAAAGCCAAGCTAAAACTGAAAAATGCTTTGATTCAATGTAAAACATTGGAAAGAGTTCAAATTGTAGCGAACATATGGATATATCTGTGTCTTGCAATACTTCCAGTAGAAAGGGCGCAATAAAAAATTCAAACGAACCGAACCTAAGATAGAGAGTTGTTTCAAACTGGGAGCAATCATTTTACCCATGGTTTGCCCTTGTTGAAAAGCTAACTGAAAGTAGAGTGAAATGACTAGAAGAGGTCATCGTTTAAAGTCCATAGGAGTGCTCATTAATCCGTTAATCCGCATACATACGTGACCGTACGTAAGTCAGGCCAATTAAATTGTGTATACGCCGCGTAATCGCCAGGTGCTGGCGCTGATAAGTGAAGCTTCTGGACAGCCATGCAGTGTGAAGTCGTGACTCCATTTGCTTGCAATCAGCGGCAATTTTGTATATTTTTAGCCGCAGTTGCGATTAGGAGGAGAGCTGTCGCACTTCGCACTCAGCGGCAAATGATTTGTGCTGCTCCAAACGATTAAAACCCAAATCCCAACTACATTTGTCCCGTGCTCCAGAGTGCTCAAAGCGGCGAATGAGCAGATGGTGCTCGGCGAACTTGGGAAAGCTTGCGGAATGGACGCTCCCAGTTTCGAGAATAGCGAGAGCTTTGCCGCGATGTCGCTCGCGATCGCGCGAGCGCCGAAAAGACTTAAATTGAAAGTCCAATCGAGACTCGGATTCAGACAGTGCCGAGTTCTACGACCGCCCAGACAACAAATCCAGCGTAAGTGCGTCCGAGCCGAACGAATTCAAAATTCGACCAGTGTCTGCCGCATTATCAATAAACTTACAAAAGACATATTATACAATGTTATGTGACAAAAAACGAAGAAGAATAACATTAAACAAAAGCTCAAGCAGATAACAACAAAGTGTTTGAGGCCAACAACTAATCCGTAAAAGGCGTATGATACGTATGATTGGCACGTAGACGGCCCACGCCCAATGCCATTTCTGGCGGTATGTGCTGACTGGCCAAAATCTTTGAGCCACGCGATGCGTTAGATACATTTGTATCTTTTGCTACCCGCATACGCTGTCCCATAATTTTCATTAATTTGTTTCTATTTTTATGCCACAACGGCGGCTGCTGCTGCTGCTGCCTGGTGAAAGTTGTGCTCAGCGGCGTCTCCTAAACGCGTCGACCTCAAAAGTTCTCAAAGTTCGCATCGTGCGATGCGTGCCAAAGTTCAACTGGCCAGACAATTTGGCGGCAGTCCATTTGTCATGCCCGCCAATTAATGTAGCTTTGGGAAACTGACTTTGTCATGGTATCATCGAGAGCAGCAGTTCCCATCAAGTTCATTGTCATTCGTTAGTCCATTTATAATTTACGTTGCTTCATAAACTATTAAGTTTTTAACTCTTACTTGCAGATTAAAATCCAAATCTAAAATGTCCCTCACCGAGGTAAGTGGCAGGAAAAATACCTGTTGATTTATGATAGTGTATTCCTTATCAAAACGGTTCTTTGATAACCCAAAGGCTTATCAACAGCCTGTCGTTGGCTGTTAATCGGCTAATCAGCTTATTAATTAATCGTTTCATCTTGCAGCAATTCAATGCCGCCGCCGAGAAGGTGAAGTCTCTGACCAAGCGCCCCAGCGATGATGAGTTCCTCGAGCTCTATGCCCTCTTCAAGCAGGCCACCGTCGGCGACAACGAGACCAGCAAGCCGGGCCTTTTGGATCTGAAGGGCAAGGCCAAGTGGGAGGCCTGGGGCAAGCAGAAGGGCAAGTCCACGGAGGCTGCACAAAAGGAGTACATCGCCTTCGTCGCGGGTCTGGTGGCCAAGTATGCCTAAGTCCCGGCTGAACTCAGATTCAAGCCAAACTGAATTGATTTTAAACAACAACTAGAGAGACTAAAGCTATTTATATATGGTAGACAATACGGAAGCAGATCTTTATAATGCCTAATAAAATTTGATTATCTTTTACACACAAACGTCTCGCCCCGTATGCTCAGAGTACATTACACTCTGCTCCCGTCGAGCTCTCTATCTGGTATTACTGGTCGCACTTGGTCACCTTTAGTCATACATCGGCCCGGGCTTAGCTTTGAGTATGCGGCGCTTGCTATTTGCAACGCAAATATACTTAAAATCTGGGCTGGGTACCGGTTCCAGGTTATCCAACCAATACGAATACGCATACGAATACGAATAATTCGAATGGGATTGCAACTCGTGTGCTGCGTTCTTTGGACGCTCACCTGTCCATTAGCGTCCAACTGTTAATAGACTCATCGAAACAGTTTCAATGTTGAGGGCCATAAGATATAACCAAAACGGTTAGCTTTGCGAACGACCTTGAGTTTCCAGTTACGGTTAAGTGCAGCTGATCAAAGTCGAAAAGTGCAGCACATAATCTATTTGGCTTATTTCCCGTTTCCTAAGTACTATATTGTTGACAGAGCAGGGAAAAGCGGAAGTGGATTTGAGTAAAAATACATATTTAGCTGCCCATTTCCGGATTTCAGTAATATGTTGTCAAAATTTTTACGAGGTTGGGCTTTTTGTTCATGGTTTTCCTTCTAGATTAATCTGGCATTAAAATCTGAACACCGATTTTTTGGTCGAAATTCATGTCAAAATCTTACCCCAAGATTCGTCTCTAGACATGGTTCTAAACTTCTCAGTCCCATAACTCGGCCAAATCTCATCCGATTTTTACGAGGTTGGGCTTTTTGTTCATGGTTTTCCTTCTAGATTAATCTGGCATTAAAATCTGAACACCGATTTTTTGGTCGAAATTCATGTCAAAATCTTACCCCAAGATTCGTCTCTAGACATGGTTCTAAACTTCTGAGTCCCATAACTTGGCCAAATCTCATCCGATTTTTACGAGGTTGGGCTTTTTGTTCATGGTTTTCCTTCTAGATTAATCTGGCATTCAAATCTGAACACCGATTTTTTGGTCGAAATTCATGTCAAAATCTTACCCCAAGATTCGTCTCTAGACATGGTTCTAAACTTCTCAGTCCCATAACTTGGCCAAATCTCATCCGATTTTTACGAGGTTGGGCGTTTTGTTCATGGTTTTCCTTTTAGATTAATCTGGCATTAAAATCTGAACACCGATTTTTTGGTCGAAATTCATGTCAAAATCTTACCCCAAGATTCGTCTCTAGACATGGTTCTAAACTTCTGAGTCCCATAACTTGGCCAAATCTCATCCGATTTTTACGAGGTTGGGCTTTTTGTTCATGGTTTTCCTTTTAGATTAATCTGGCATTAAAATCTGAACACCGATTTTTTGGTCGAAATTCATGTCAAAATCTTACCCCAAGATTCGTCTCTAGACATGGTTCTAAACTTCTCAGTCCCATAACTCGGCCAAATCTCATCCGATTTTTACAAGGTTGGGCTTTTTGTTCATGGTTTTCCTTCTAGATTAATCTGGCATTAAAATCTGAACACCGATTTTTTGGTCGAAATTCATGTCAAAATCTTACCCCAAGATTCGTCTCTAGACATGGTTCTAAACTTCTGAGTCCCATAACTTGGCCAAATCTCATCCGATTTTTACGAGGTTGGGCTTTTTGTTCATGGTTTTCCTTCTAGATTAATCTGGCATTAAAATCTGAACACCGATTTTTTGGTCGAAATTCATGTCAAAATCTTACCCCAAGATTCGTCTCTAGACATGGTTCTAAACTTCTCAGTCCCATAACTCGGCCAAATCTCATCCGATTTTTACGAGGTTGGGCTTTTTGTTCATGGTTTTCCTTCTAGATTAATCTGGCATTAAAATCTGAACACCGATTTTTTGGTCGAAATTCATGTCAAAATCTTACCCCAAGATTCGTCTCTAGACATGGTTCTAAACTTCTGAGTCCCATAACTTGGCCAAATCTCATCCGATTTTTACGAGGTTGGGCTTTTTGTTCATGGTTTTCCTTCTAGATTAATCTGGCATTCAAATCTGAACACCGATTTTTTGGTCGAAATTCATGTCAAAATCTTACCCCAAAATTCGTCTCTAGACATGGTTCTAAACTTCTCAGTCCCATAACTTGGCCAAATCTCATCCGATTTTTACGAGGTTGGGCGTTTTGTTCATGGTTTTCCTTTTAGATTAATCTGGCATTAAAATCTGAACACCGATTTTTTGGTCGAAATTCATGTCAAAATCTTACCCCAAGATTCGTCTCTAGACATGGTTCTAAACTTCTGAGTCCCATAACTTGGCCAAATCTCATCCGATTTTTACGAGGTTGGGCTTTTTGTTCATGGTTTTCCTTTTAGATTAATCTGGCATTAAAATCTGAACACCGATTTTTTGGTCGAAATTCATGTCAAAATCTTACCCCAAGATTCGTCTCTAGACATGGTTCTAAACTTCTCAGTCCCATAACTCGGCCAAATCTCATCCGATTTTTACAAGGTTGGGCTTTTTGTTCATGGTTTTCCTTCTAGATTAATCTGGCATTAAAATCTGAACACCGATTTTTTGGTCGAAATTCATGTCAAAATCTTACCCCAAGATTCGTCTCTAGACATGGTTCTAAACTTCTCAGTCCCATAACTCGGCCAAATCTCATCCGATTTTTACGAGGTTGGGCTTTTTGTTCATGGTTTTCCTTCTAGATTAATCTGGCATTAAAATCTGAACACCGATTTTTTGGTCCAAATTCATGTCAAAATCTTACCCCAAGATTCGTCTCTAGACATGGTTCTAAACTTCTGAGTCCCATAACTTGGCCAAATCTCATCCGATTTTTACGAGGTTGGGCTTTTTGTTCATGGTTTTCCTTCTAGATTAATCTGGCATTAAAATCTGAACACCGATTTTTTGGTCGAAATTCATGTCAAAATCTTACCCCAAAATTCGTCTCTAGACATGGTTCTAAACTTCTCAGTCCCATAACTTGGCCAAATCTCATCCGATTTTTACGAGGTTGGGCGTTTTGTTCATGGTTTTCCTTTTAGATTAATCTGGCATTAAAATCTGAACACCGATTTTTTGGTCGAAATTCATGTCAAAATCTTACCCCAAGATTCGTCTCTAGACATGGTTCTAAACTTCTGAGTCCCATAACTTGGCCAAATCTCATCCGATTTTTACGAGGTTGGGCTTTTTGTTCATGGTTTTCCTTTTAGATTAATCTGGCATTAAAATCTGAACACCGATTTTTTGGTCGAAATTCATGTCAAAATCTTACCCCAAGATTCGTCTCTAGACATGGTTCTAAACTTCTCAGTCCCATAACTCGGCCAAATCTCATCCGATTTTTACAAGGTTGGGCTTTTTGTTCATGGTTTTCCTTCTAGATTAATCTGGCATTAAAATCTGAACACCGATTTTTTGGTCGAAATTCATGTCAAAATCTTACCCCAAGATTCGTCTCTAGACATGGTTCTAAACTTCTCAGTCCCATAACTCGGCCAAATCTCATCCGATTTTTACGAGGTTGGGCTTTTTGTTCATGGTTTTCCTTCTAGATTAATCTGGCATTAAAATCTGAACACCGATTTTTTGGTCCAAATTCATGTCAAAATCTTACCCCAAGATTCGTCTCTAGACATGGTTCTAAACTTCTGAGTCCCATAACTTGGCCAAATCTCATCCGATTTTTACGAGGTTGGGCTTTTTGTTCATGGTTTTCCTTCTAGATTAATCTGGCATTAAAATCTGAACACCGATTTTTTGGTCGAAATTCATGTCAAAATCTTACCCCAAGATTCGTCTCTAGACATGGTTCTAAACTTCTCAGTCCCATAACTCGGCCAAATCTCATCCGATTTTTACGAGGTTGGGCTTTTTGTTCATGGTTTTCCTTCTAGATTAATCTGGCATTAAAATCTGAACACCGATTTTTTGGTCGAAATTCATGTCAAAATCTTACCCCAAGATTCGTCTCTAGACATGGTTCTAAACTTCTGAGTCCCATAACTTGGCCAAATCTCATCCGATTTTTACGAGGTTGGGCTTTTTGTTCATGGTTTTCCTTTTAGATTAATCTGGCATTAAAATCTGAACACCGATTTTTTGGTCGAAATTCATGTCAAAATCTTACCCCAAGATTCGTCTCTAGACATGGTTCTAAACTTCTCAGTCCCATAACTCGGCCAAATCTCATCCGATTTTTACGAGGTTGGGCTTTTTGTTCATGGTTTTCCTTCTAGATTAATCTGGCATTAAAATCTGAACACCGATTTTTTGGTCCAAATTCATGTCAAAATCTTACCCCAAGATTCGTCGCTAGACATGGTTCTAAACTTCTGAGTCCCATAACTTGGCCAAATCTCATCCGATTTTTACGAGGTTGGGCTTTTTGTTCATGGTTTTCCTTCTAGATTAATCTGGCATTAAAATCTGAACACCGATTTTTTGGTCCAAATTCATGTCAAAATCTTACCCCAAGATTCGTCGCTAGACATGGTTCTAAACTTCTGAGTCCCATAACTTGGCCAAATCTCATCCGATTTTTACGAGGTTGGGCTTTTTGTTCATGGTTTTCCTTCTAGATTAATCTGGCATTCAAATCTGAACACCGATTTTTTGGTCGAAATTCATGTCAAAATCTTACCCCAAGATTCGTCTCTAGACATGGTTCTAAACTTCTGAGTCCCATAACTTGGCCAAATCTCATCCGATTTTTACGAGGTTGGGCTTTTTGTTCATGGTTTTCCTTCTAGATTAATCTGGCATTAAAATCTGAACACCGATTTTTTGGTCCAAATTCATGTCAAAATCTTACCCCAAGATTCGTCGCTAGACATGGTTCTAAACTTCTGAGTCCCATAACTTGGCCAAATCTCATCCGATTTTTACGAGGTTGGGCTTTTTGTTCATGGTTTTCCTTCTAGATTAATCTGGCATTAAAATCTGAACACCGATTTTTTGGTCGAAATTCATGTCAAAATCTTACCCCAAGATTCGTCTCTAGACATGGTTCTAAACTTCTCAGTCCCATAACTCGGCCAAATCTCATCC